AGTGTATTAATAAATTATTTATAGATAAAAAGAGGAGAAAAGAAAATGAAAGTAGAAAACCCCATTTTTGGTCTTAACATTTATTGCTTCATTTTTCCTGTGGGTTTTACCTGCATGTTATGTAAGTGTACCTGGGTTGTGCAGTGCTCACAGAGACCAGAGAGGGCACTGGATCCCCTAAAACTGGAATTACAGATGGCTTGTTAGCCACCATATGGGTGCTGGGAACTGAACCTGGGTCCTCTGTAAGAGCAGTCAGTGCTTTTAACTGCTGAGCCATCTCTCCAGCTTCCCCATTTTTGGTCTTATATCATGACCATAGACATTTATAATGAACCAACTAACTTGATACATGAAAATTAACATGATTAGGTTAAATATTAACTTACAATGGCACCTTATCATGAACATGAAGGTTTAGAGAAAGCTATGAGATATTTCAGAAAGTGCCTCCATGCCGGCCCCATGCTTTCTTCCTACTGTTCTCACATAACTTATCTTCTCTCCACTGTCACAGACCCTGGCTAACTCTTTCCAGAGTGGACTGCTAGCCAGCTGCTAGGTGTGTCTACAGAGCACTGGAGTGTGATAATGATTATGTCCATGATTTAAACAAAGCACACATGGATATCTGTTACGAACTGTATCAGAATTCATTCATTCTCCCTCCTCCCCCATCTTCTGTCTCTCTCTCCTAAAGCTGAAGCTAAAGCAACTAATTTGGGGAAAAACATATCTGTATAAAAATAGATGCATATCAGATGCTCACCCCAGTATGTATCACCAAAACAATTTCTTTTTATTTTTAAATTATGTGTATATGTATACGTGTGTGTATATTTATGTTTGTGTACACACCTGCCACAGTACACATGTGGAAATCAGAGGACAACTTGTGGGAGTCAATTCTCTCCTTCCACCGTTTGGGTTTTGGTGATTTAACCCAGGAAGTTTGACTTGGTAGAACGTGTCTTTACCTCCTGAGCCATCTCTGTGCCCCCTCCCCGCAAACAATTGTAATACAGGAGAAATAAATTCCTGCATAGCCACATTAAGGTGTATTAAAAGTCTTTTCTTTATCTTAATGGAATAAGACATTCAAATTTTTATATGTAAAAACCTGTTAAGAAACTAAAAACAAAAAAACCCCCAAAAAACAAGATGCAGAATCCATATACAACAGAAGCCCTGTGTGTAAAAAAAGACAAAAGGCAGACTTTACAGATATATTTTAATGCATAGTAAAGACTATGAAGGTAATTCAAGGAGATGTAGCTTCAATTTTGCAACATTTCCAAAATTTTTTGGACAGTCTCTCCATGTAGCCCAGGCTGGCCTCAAACTCATGATCTTCCCATTTTTGTCTCCTAAGGGATGAGACTGACAAGGTATGTGTCATCACTCCTAGCTTTGCTTCAGTTTTTAAAAGAATATATACTCACAATATAGTCTTGAATAATTAAGCTTAAACAATAAAGAAAACAAAGGAAGAAATATTTTCCACATAAATTATTCTCTTTATTTCTCCATAGTTTTACTGGTATTCTGATATGAGGTATTGATAGGACAGTAGAACAGAATGAGCTATGAAAGCAAACCACAGCTACTTCCAGATAACTCAAAAGCTATGCTGTCTATGCTCAAAGTAACTGACATACAGCTGTAGCAATGATCAAGGATAAACATGTCTGAAAGATGGGACGTTTTAATGTAAATGTTATTTATGGGTTCTTATGTTTAGATCCATCACTAGTTGATAACTTTCATCTTTCTCTCCTAATTTATGATCCACAGTTAAAACAAAAAATGAGGGGCTGGAAAGATGGCTCAGCGGTTAAGAACACTGGTTGTTCTTGCAGAAGACCTGGGTTCGAATCCCAGCATTCACATGGCAGCTAACAACTGTCCATAACTCCAATCCCAGGGGATCTGACAGCCTCTCTGTCCTCCTTGGGCATTGCACAACATGGGTGCACTTACCTTCATGCAGGCAATACACACATACACATAAAATAAAAATAATAAATAAAATTTAAAAAAAACCCCAAAACAAAAAAGGTTGTCACGCAAAGGCTAGCTCAAGGTGAACTGTTTACTCAAGTCCTCAAACTAAGTAAGTTGCACTCATATACCCATGAGATAATTTAACTGGTTAAATCAAAGAGGCAGGGAGCAGAATTCCCCAACAAATACAAGTCCCTTAACAGCAAGTTATCATACATCGAAGTGGACAAAAGATATTTTTCCTCTGAGCTTACAGTATAATCAGTGGTTTAGCACTTACAAGCCAAAGTCCATACTAAATGCTTAATATGTATTATTCTAGTTACTTATAATCTGGCAATGAACATTAAAGAGAAATCGCAGCTGGGAGTGGTGGTGAATGCTCTAACTAATCCCAGCACTCAGGAGGCCAAGGGAGGAGAATCTCTTTGAGTTCTAGGTCAGCTGGGGCCAAGTAATCTTCCTCATAAGTACTTGACAGAACAATGGATGATGCTATCATTTATTAGGATCACTACCACCTAGCTTCTAACATCAATCTTCACTCTACTCCAGCCAGCTTTTCAAAGGACTCATTGATTTACATGTACAGTGCTTTGATGAATTCCCACTGCCTGTTAAGTCTAAATTCTTTTCACCTACATTTGAAAATGTGTATAACATAGCTCCTTCCATCTCTCACCAAATCCCAACTATTCTCTAAGCATACTGGCCTGCTTATTATAATTTTTACAACATGTCTTAAAAATACTCTTGTTAGCCGGGTGTGGTGGTGAATGCCTGTAGTCCCAGCACTTGGGAGGCAGAGGCAGGCAGACCTCCAAGGCCAGCCTGGTCTACATAGTGAGTTCCAGGACAGCTGAGGCTACAGGGAGACCCTGCTTCAAAAAGACCAAAAAACAAAACAAAACAAAAAACCCCCAAAACCTCTTGCTATTCTCTAATTCCATCCTTCAGTGCTCAGTAGAAACATTATCTTCAAAAAGCTGATTACCTCTGGCACTCTCACACACGATTTACATCTCTGTTACACTTTCATATTATACTTGTCCCTCAGTATCCAAGGATGATTAGTTCAGGAACTCTCAAGGACACCAGAATTAACAGATACTCAAGTATCTTACATAAAATGGTATGTTTTTCCATATAACCTATGCACAATCACTGTTACTATAACTCTTTCCCTGGGGGAGTATGATTCTACCCAAGTTCACTCTGGGGAACCAATGGGTTTACTGGACTTACTTAGAGAGCAATGGTTAAGGGGTTACTTACATGTGTGGGTGCTCAGGCTACACAGTCTTTACCCAGCATGGATGATGGCTTCCCTATAGCTGCATAGATGGAGCTCTTCCCCCAGAGCCCCCCCCCCCCCGAATTCTGTAGCCTTTCCCTGAGGCCACATTCAATTAGGGCAGAAATGCCCCCAATGGGTTGGGAAAAGGGATGGATACAGCTGTGATATTTCCCAAGGGGGCAATAGCTACACTCCTGAAGATGGTGGGTGATTGGCTAGGAGAGTAGTTCTGTACACTATCCTCCCATACACTTTAAATCATCCCTAGATCACTTTTAGAATCGAATACAATGTAAATCCTGTAAACCCCAAGCAAATATATGCTACAGTGTATTGTTTAGGAACTCTTTAAAAAGTGCATATGCAGTACAAATGCAACCTTTATAACCCTAAATTTCTGATCTCTGTGGTTGGTACAAAATTCAATGCTGTCAACTGTATTTGCCTGTTAGTTCCCTGAAAGCAAGACTTATTCATATCTATATTAATTCCATGTGTACCTGGCATACTGTCTTATACACAATTCATATTCAATAGCATAGAAAACTTCACCATTATTAACAGCACTCTTGAAAATGGCAAGACGTGTTATTCACATACATTTTCTTCCTTAATGTTCCCCCCAGTTTTCTTAACAGCTAATGATAATCTACAATTCTGCTAGTTGCTCCTTTTCTAGTTCTGTTTCAACATCACTGAGTTATAATTCTAATAATGTGGCAGATATCAATGACTTAACACTAACTGAACCACCTATATTATGCATTAATAACACTGGAGAAGGAAGAGAAGGAAGAAATCAAATACATGCTGGAATACTAGGATTATCTGGTAAAATCTATAAACGGAATACAAAATTCACTTTTCAATTTTGAGTAATCTCTGGCTTCGATGAAATCAAAATAAAAAGATATGCATGGCTATCTACTACTCAGCAACTAAACCATCTTTTATCGATGAACTCTGCAAATTGGCAAATGTAATTAATGTCCTTAAGATCCAACTAACGATCCTCTAACTATAAGGCACTAGGAAACCTCAGTTTCCATTTTTGTAGCTACATTTCAGGATAATTACAATAATCTAATCTATGATTTTTCCGACTTAGCTTCTTTTAAGCAATCAAACACACACACACACACACACACACACATGAAAATAATACATTAAAATTCAATTAAATGTACTATATAATACATGATTTAACTCTAGGAATAATCCCTGATTTCCAATTACTGGAGAATGCATTAATCTTCATGTAAAGGTATTGGGAGTACAGAACAGTTAAAAGACATGGGGAAGGAGAACCTGCTGCATTCATTCAATTCCCTGTACTTTGTCCCATATGAGAAGGAGGATAGTTGTGGTTGATGTTTACTATATTGTGAAGACCAGAGTACTTTTTATATATTTACAGGGCTTAACTCAATAGCACTTCAGCTTTATTTTTCTTAAACTGCTTTTGCATTAGCTTGCTCCTGCTAGCAAACAAACTAAATTAGAAATATTCAAGCAAAAAAAAGAGTTGTTAAAAGTCAATGCTAGCCACATGTTACCTACATGTTAGGGATGTTACTATGTGATTCTATTTTCAAGCAAGAGAAAGACAAGTTTTAAAGGCAAAGTTGTGGTTATCACAGAGCCACAGGAAGGCAGTTACATAGGCTGAGCTGACTGTTGCCATGGGCTTAGAGCATACCTGGAAATAGAAAAACTCAAACTGTAGCTTTCCTTGGTTGGCCCAGTCATATTTGCAGCTCAGACATTTTTAATTAAGTAACTGCAGTGAGCTCATCTCTACTGGATACTTCTTTTCCAGAGCAGGTCCAGGAACTGGGTCTGGAGCCTTGAAAGGAGAAGAGAAACTACAGTAAACTAGAGGTAGGCAGAATCAGAAATGTGATCAGACAACACTAGTAGCAGGGAGGTGGCTCCTACAGTCTCTAACATAACATATTTTGAAGTGGAAAGAGTTTCTGAAATCACAAGTTACCAGGGAAAACTATTAGTTAAGGCATTCTCTTACTCTACCCAACTCTAGTTTGGACTTCCAATTCTGGGAATTGACAAAGTAGCTTTTCTACAATCTGCAATGGCTGCAGCTTGCCTAGTAGAGGTTCAGAGTAACTTTTAACAAAAAAACAAGACCTATTTTCATTGATAAAACTGGAGTTATAAATTCTTCATTTTCAGGTTATTCTCTCCTCTTCCTTTTCATTCCTGTATTTCCTACTAATTTCAAACTGTTCTCCTAATTTCCTATAATCAATTCTCAGAGGTTTCTTAAAAAATATTTTAAATTCATTCAGGCAGTGAACTGAAACTCACGTTCCAATATTTAAAAATACACAGTAATTTTTGAAGAGGGCAGCAAAGAACAGGTCATAAGATGTGGTTCTTAACCACACTGGAAATTGTTTTTTTCCATTACCAAAATAGATTCAATAATTAAAAAAAATTTCTTAGGCCTATATAAAAACTGGCAACTACAGAGGTTGAAGAAATGGCAAGATATTTAAAGTGGTGGACAATTTTACTAATTAGTTTTCTAAGGACTAGGAATGAAGTCCTTATACTTGAGACTCAGGAGGTTGTCACCTTTAGGAATTTTTCTAAGAAATAAATCTCACAGCAGTAAAATAAATTGAATTCTCTGCTCTATCAAACATGAGAACGACACAGACAAAATACAATAGTGAAAACAAGGATTCAAACACGTTAACTCCCTGCATTCCTTGTAATTATCAATACAACAAAACAGAGTAAAAATAGTTTTGGGGGAAGACGTAAACTTTCCATGTTCTGTGATGGCATTGCTGTAGGGAAAAGAATTTTGGGAGACAGAGAGCTAGGTTCAAATCTCATTTCAATATGGTTTTGAATTTAAAACTACCTGCAGGAGTTTCCTTTCTACTCATTAACTGGCAATCCCTCATTTCACTGGGCTGCCATGTAATTCAGCTAAAAACACAAAACACCTAAAGCCGGTGTACATTAGGTTTCCAATACATTTTTCTGCATTACTAAAGAATAAAACACTCTTTCCTCTTTTACTTTATTTCTGCTCTGAATATGTGAGTATATTTAAGTTTTCATTTTCATAAATGCTAAAACAACAGCTATATAATAAGCTTTAGGTTTATTTAATTAAACTGCATCACAGAAAAGCTAGAGTAAATATATCAGACAGTTTAATTCGTTCAGCTGAAGACAAAGATGTAATAATTTACACTTAGGATATAAAAATAATTTATAGTAAACAAGAACACATTTTTTTTTCTCCCTACAAAACAGAAAATACGTGTGCCAACATATTTCTGTTAAAAGGTCAGATCTGGAATACAGTGCTAGTCAAAAAAAAAAACAAAAAAGCAATTAATACATGATATAACTTGATCTTTATGCATTTAAGGGCAAAGAAAAGTCTTATACTACATATGGGCAATAATTTTCCTTTTACTGATAGAACAGTGGGTTCCACAGAAAATTATTATTTACCAAATATGGCTCAAAGATCAGATTACACCTCCTCCGACATTTACCAAGTATAGAGCAAGCATCACAAGCCACAAGGAATTCAAGAAAAAAAATTCCTTACGGTCACTCAAAATGTATTCATCACCAGAACTTACTTTCAAAGTAGTTTTAAAGTTAACATGGAAGTATCTTATTCAAAATGAATAGACAATATTAAATTGATATATTCCTCAGATAAAAAAAAAAGAAGAGAAAAAAAAGAGGATTCTCTTTCACTAACCCACATGGATAGGCTTTCAGTTTAAAGACTATCAAGCAGGAGATACTGTAGGGAAATCATTATTACACATTTAAATTTTATAGTTAGATAGCATGTCGAAATCACATTACTCATAGTTATATTTCAGTTCTTTGTTTTTTTGTTCTTTTTGAGGCAGGGTCTCCCTGTAGCCCTGGCTGACCTGAACTCATGTAGAGCAGGCTGGCTTTGAACTCACAGAGATCCACCTGCCTCTGCCTCCCAAAGTGCCGGGATTAAAGGTGTGTGCCACCATGCCCAGCTTACATTTCGGCTTTGAAAAAACTTTTTTCCATAAACACAATCAAATAATAACAGTAAATTTGCCTCCTCGCTTTTAGTACTTTTTTTCCTAATTGCACTATGTAGTACTTCCATGGACAGTGTTACACAGCAGTAATGTTAGGATTTTTGGTGGGGGGGGCGCCAAAGGTGGGGTGAGAGAGTAACAGAGAAGTATGAAAGGCTTGTTATATATCCAAGGCTGGCCTGGAACTTGTGATCCTTTTGTCTCAGCCTCCTGTGCTGTGATTATAAGCAACATCACGCTAGGCTGTGATTTCTGACTTCTTAATAGGAATTTAACATTTCATCAAATAGGAATTCTAGCATCTTACCAGTTCTGGTAACAAAATAGTGGATTCTGGTCTGAGATGTAAAATCTTAGGAATATCTCTTTATTTTTGTTCTACTAAGAACTCTTGGTAGAAATGAATGTTGAACTCTTCCTCTTTTTGAATTTCTTATTTCCTAAGATATTCATACCCACTTCCACCATTCATGTCTGTCTGATCTATCACTATATTTCTAGAATGAATCCCACTTGGTCATAGAATTATTTTAGTGATGTAATGCTGGGTTCCATTTAGCTTTTTTTTTTTTTTTTTTTTTTTTTTTTTTTTGGAGCTGCATGTATGTAAGGGCACCTGTGTCATGCAATGCCTGCGGTAGTCAGAAGAGGGCACTGGAACCCCTGGAACTGGAGTTACAGACAATTATTAGCTGCCATGTGCGTACTGGGAATAAAATCCTGGTGCTCTCAGAGAACAGGCTGTGCTCTTAATCCCTGAGTCATCTCTTCAGCTCCATTGGCTTTTCTAAGACTGGTCTGTGGTCTTTTATTCTCTTTTACTGTCATGCTGGTTTTATAAAAAGAACCTCAAAGTTCACCTTTTCTTCTTTATGTTCTGGAATAGTTATATGAGGCTTGGAGTTTTTAAAAGAATTCAATGCAACGCCTCCATGGTCTACTTACTTTTGCAGGAACAATCTCTTACTAATTAAGACTAGCATCTCCATGTGCAGGTCTAGAGCCTGTTTATTCTCTTTTACTGTCATGCTGGTTTTATAAAAAGAACCTCAAAGTTCACCTTTTCTTCTTTATGTTCTGGAATAGTTATATGAGGCTTGGAGTTTTTAAAAGAATTCAATGCAACGCCTCCATGGTCTACTTACTTTTGCAGGAACAATCTCTTACTAATTAAGACTAGCATCTCCATGTGCAGGTCTAGAGCCTGTTCTTTCACATTTCCTTGAGGAAACCAAGCCCCCCATTTTCCCAATTTCTCCCCTCAATTTATAAACATGTAGAAGCCTTGCTCATCTTCAAGTCATTCAGCAAGCTACTTTTAAAATTGCTACTGCAAGCCTTGCTCTCTACACCCTAGTCTAATAGGAAGCCAAGAGATAAGAAACCACAATAGTAGTGTAAGGAAAAATATGCTTTGCTAGTTCTTGCTTACATTCATGCCTTGCTGAACTTCTCTATACAGCAGTGTACAATATAGTTCACATTTTGTTTTACTCTACCTCCAGAGCCTTTCACCTGATAGTATGTTCATTCAAATATCCAAATTCAATAACCTCTTCAGTATCCTCATCTACTTTTTTAGTAATCATTTCAGTTTACTAAATATTTTAAATTTTCATAGGTACTTCCTAACTCCTATCATTGGGTCCTCATAAAAGGCCAGTGTCATGGTTTAAATCTGGAATGCCTCTCCCCTCCCCAACCCTGAGAGCTCCTGTTTTGAGTCTTGGCTCCCTGCTGGAAGAACAGTTTGGGGCCTAGCTGATAGATCTGGCCTCTACAGGTGAACCACTGAAGGTCTTACTACCCTTCAATTCTAGTTTAGTTCTGTGCTGTCTACAATGGAAGACTCTTCACCACATGCTCCTGCAACCATGCCTCCCCTGCAAGTCAAAAAAATCCACTTTGATAAGAGGATGGAAATCCCTCTGAAACTCTGAGTCCAAGTAAATCTTCCTTTCTTAAGTTGCATGTTTTTTGTCAGAGCAACAGATAAGTAACAATACTGCCAGGTAATTAATTCTCATTTTGCAAAGTTCAGATAATTAAGTAACTTTACCAATTACCAAAACTCTAACAAGCAACAGAGTGAAGGATAGAAATGCATTTGTGGTTTCTAACTATGGGTCCAGGGTTCCTCCTTATGTACCAGTTCTCTTAACTGATCATTTTCTTCTTGCAAGTTTCTTGTCTGGACAGTAGTAGTAGGCACTCTTCCAGGTCCCTAGAATCCTTATTTCTATGCCTTTTAGTGGTTGTCAAAAGGACAGAGATGCAGTCATGACATGCACTCTCTCACTTGTTCCTCTGCCATCTCAGCTATGTTCCTCTGACAGTCTCAACTAAGGAGATTGTCCTTTAAGCATTCTACTTGATGAAGCTTAAATATTCAGAGTAAAAGAATTTGATGTTGAAAGACATTTATAGATGGTTTGAATGAGAATGTCTCCCATAGGCTCCAAGTATTTGGACATTTTGTCCCCAGTTGGTGATGCTATTTTGGGAGGTCTTAGAAGGCCAAGGCCATGCTGGGGGAAGCACATCACTGGGGGCGGGCTTACAGAGTTCCTAAGCCTTGCTGATCTCCAGTCACTCTACTTCTTGTGCCTGCTTGAAGATGTAAGTGCTTAGCTTCTGCTCCTACTTCAGCCACCTCTGCCACCATGATGGACTCTTGCCCCTCTGGAACAGTAAGCTAAATTAACTCTTCCTTTTATAAGTTTCCTTAGTCATGGCGTTTCTATTACAGCAACATAAAAGT